CCCTCACAAACCAGCTCCCGCCTGGCACACACAGGCAGAGAGGCAGCAACGCAGAGTGGCAGAGGGCTCCTTCAGAGTGAGGCCAGAGGGCACTGGCTGTCGGCTCTGCCCCCAGGGACTATAGAATAGTCGACTACCCGATAAGAATTAATAAGGTTACTTGACTATTCAGTTAACCAATATTTAACATCCTAAGCTGTATACATCACAAGAGAAACAACAATGAAGAAAACTCATACTCTCCAGACATTACAAACAAACAAACAAACAAACCCCAGAAAAGTAAAACAAGTGTGGAAAACTTCACTAATTCTTCAGTTAAAACATTAAAAGCCAAAGACGACTTTGCCACAGAGTTACAATATAGAAATTAAAACAAAAATTTATTCATAATCTCAGTCGCCATGAAGATGCTCCAGAAACATAACTGTTTTGGAGCAGAAGGGAGAAAGGGACAGGAAATGGAAAATAAAATGCATTTGCTGACCTTTGCTCCCTACTTCCTGACAAATCATGGTACTTTGCTCTCTCGAGTTAACTATGGAGCTCTTCACTATACAAGTTGAAACTAAAATACATAAGATGATATTGGGGAACAGTCTCCTTACACTTAAAAAAAGAGGGGTTTAAAAAAGAGGGGTGTGAAGGGGGGAATATACTGAGTTCAGATTGAAAGCCTATATTCCAGAGTGGTTATATACTCAACTGGGGCGAGAAGTAGTGTAGTATTTTATTAGAGAACCATTGTTTGAGCATTAAACAGACGTGACATTAAAAAGCAGGAACAATATAGATCACTCTTTTTTAGCAGTATTTATGCTCAGATAGGAGATTAAATGATAAAAATTCTTGATTTTGATACCAATTCCATGATTTTACCAATTCTCCTCATTTGTGTACTCATGGAAAAGAACAATACTGGGAGAGTATCCACTAATGCTGCACAGTTATAAACCCAACTACTAATCCTCCCATCAACATTGCAGATGAGCTGTTCATGAGAAAGATCAAATAGATTATCTGATCAGTATCAGTTGAGCAGTTCTCTTACTTCAGCTCACAGATGTTAACTTGAGTGCTCAAAAGAATTCTACATTCAGCAAAAAAAAAAGACATTAAATAGCATGAAGTATTTGCTTCATACAATACTGTTATGCCTTATTTTCTGTCAAAATGTTAAACTGTAACCAAATTTTAAGCTATATTGAAATATTTCTGTTTGTTAGGAGACTTGTAACATCTGAAAGTGGACTAATTAACTCAGCATGTTACTATTTCTTTTTAGTTGGGTCCCTTTTCTTCAGGGTTTCATGCAGAAAAATAGTTGGACTCTGGCTATCCCGCTTCCTCTAGAAAAATCACAAAATTAAATTGCTTTTTACTTGTGTGTAGCCTGCAATCCATTTATGGCTACTGACAATCTTCACGTCTCCCAGCAAATTATTTATTTCCATCTTTTCAATATGCTTTACATATAACAAAATGCAAATTAATCTGTCTGATAGGATCAGATACCACAAACATCATACTACATAATTTTCCATAAAGTATCAATGACATTTACATAAAACAATTGTTTGATAAAATTTACTACAAAATTTTAGCTGCAATGTTGTATACAAACTTCAAGATTAATGACATGTCTCTCTCTCTCTCTCTGCTTGATTTCTTTGTTGTACTCTCCACCCTTTTTATAGACTTAAATCTGTTTTCCCCACACATAGGTTTGCAAGGCTATGTCTACGCTACATGACAAAGTTGAACTAAGATACACAACTTCACCTGTGCAATCAACTTAGCTGAAGTCGAAGTACCTTAACTCAGCTTTTGGCACTGTCTACACTGCAGGAAGTCAAAGAAAGAACATTTTTCCTTTGACTTCCCTTACTCCTCGTGAAAGCAGGATTACCGGCATCGACCAGAGTGCCCCTCTTACTTTGAATTAGCTGTTTTAGCTAGACTATTAATTCTAACTCTGGAAGACTGAATGTGGCAGCTTTGACCTTCCTCTGTAGCATAGATGTACCCCAACAGATTAATTTTCCTGTAACATCTAATAATATTTTAGGTTTTCCATTTATTTTTTCACCTGTTCTTTCTCAAATTCTTTCTTCTGATTCTGTCCCACTTTTGATATTATTTTTCTCTTTCCTGTCTACATCTCCTATCAGTATGGTATATTATACATTTCAGGTATTCTTTTGTTCCTTTCACTCATCTCTTCATTTGTTGAAATTCCACTAAAAATCTTTTCCTCCTTTTTTCATATTTCTTTCCTTAGCACATTCACTTCAGAGGTAGCCTTTGGTTTCAATAAATTTTCACTTGGCCCAAATATTCTCTCCTGCTCACGTAATAGGGATGAAGTCAACCCAAATAATCTCTTCTCCACTCACCACTCATTGACAGAGTCAGGAAAATACTTAAGAGAGTCTGCCAGCTTCATGCAAATTATAGTTCTCATACTACTCTTAGTACTTCTCGGTCCTTCACAGCTGTTTCAGATTTTCTGAGCTACTTGCAATAAGGAATAGGATATTACTCCTAGCTAAGAGTAAACAAGACTTCTAAGAACTTCAGGCTGAGCTTTAACATAAGAACAGCCATACTGGCATACTGGGTCAGATAAAAGGTCCATATAGCCCAGTATCCAGTCTTCTGATAATGGACAATGCCAGATGCCCCAGAGGGAGTGAACAGAACAGGTAATCAAGTGAACTTTCTACTGTTAACCATTTTCAGCCACTGGCAAACAGAGGTTGGGGACACCATTCCTACCCACCCTAGTTAATAGCCATTGTTGGCCATAACCTCCATGAATTTATCTAGATCTTTTCTGAAACCTGTTAAAGTCCTGGTCTTCACAACATCCTCTGACAATGAGTTCCACACGTTGACTGTGCACTGAGTGAAGAAATACTTCCTTTTGCTTGTTTTTAACCTGCTATCTATTAATTTTGTTTGGTGACCTCTGGTTCTTTTTTTATGAGAATAATTAAATAACTTTTCCTTATCGCTATACCTGACACAACTTTATAGACCTCTATCATATCCCCACTAAGGGTATGTCTACATTGCAGGACAAGATCGAATTAAGAAACGCAACTTCAGCTATATTAATTGCATAGCTGAAGTCGAAGTACCTTAAGACAGCTTTTGGTGCTGTCTATACTGCAGGAAGTTGAAGGAAAAACACTCTCCCTTCGACTTCTCTTACTCCTCATAGAAGTAGGAGCAGAGTGCCCCTCTCAGTTTAAATTAGCTGTCTTAACTAGACCAAGTAATTTGAACCCGGAAAGATTGACAGTGGCAGCTTTGATCTTCTCTGTAGTGTAGATATGCCCTTAGTCTCTTTTCTAAGATGAAAAGTCCCAGTCTTTTTAGTCTCTCTTCATACGTCTCCTATTCTAAACACCTAACAATTTTTTTGCCTTTTCTGAATCTTTTTCAATGCCAAGACATTTTTTTGAGATGAAGTAAATACAGCACTATGTAGTAAGATATTCTCTACCCCTTTTAATTATTCCTAACATTGTTTGCTTTTTTGACTGCTGCTGCACAGTGGGTGGATGTTTTTAGAGAACTATCCACAATGACTCCAAAATCTCTCTCTCTTGAGTGGCAATATGTAAAATTAGTCCCTATCATTTTATACATATAATTGGGATTATTTTTTCCAATGTGCAATACTCTGCATTTATCAACATTAAAATTCATTTTCCATTTTGTTGCCCAATCACCTAGTTTTGTGTGATTCTTTTGAAGCTCTTCACAGTCTCATTTATTCTTAACTATCATGAGCAGTTTAGTGTCATCTGCAAATTTTCCTATCTCACTATTTACCCTTCTCCAGATGATTTATAAATATGTCTATCAGGAATGGTCCCAGTACGGACTCATGGGTCATTTATTCCTATCCTTTGTTTCCTGTCTTTTAAGCCATGAGAGGACCTCCCCTCTTATCCCATGACATCTTAACTTTACTTAAGAGCCATTGGTGAGGGACCTTGTCAAAGGCTTTCTGGGAATCTAAGTACACTATATCATTTTTGAAAGGAGTGTATAGTTAAGTCTGTAGTTTCCAGTTCCACTATCAACCTTGTTTTGAGGCATTTATAACTTTGTCATTTTAATTTGCTTGATACTGAAATTTGCCATTCACTACCCTACTTCCAAATAAGTTTTTGTTATTTGTTCCCCTCCCCACAGAACATTTCATTTAAATTGAGATGGCCCATTTTTGTCTTTCACACATTCAAAAAATGAATTTTACAGGCATCTAAGGCATGTTTTAACAAACTACAGTAACTGATTTTTCAAACTACACAACAGCATATACAGCATATAAGAGGGCAGAATCAAGTGCTTATTTGTTTTTATTAGTGACACTGGGTAATTTGGAGAGATAAATTAATTCACAGAGTTATTTAAAATTTCAAAAATAGATAATGTATTTAAAGTAACTATTTTTCATGTATGGGTTTCTACATGATAATAACTTATGCTTTATAAAAATGAAAATAGCACATGTTATTCTGACATACTATGCTAGCTCTAAAACGATATGCATTTTTTTAGGGCCTGACTTTGTATCGCTGATGTCTCAGAGCAGAACTGGGCCATTTATGCAGAATATTCTTTTAGGAAAAATTCATCAACTCAGTCTTAATGTCATTATTATAATATACTTATATCCTGCTGTGCCTAGAGTAAAGCACAGATGGTAGGTTATATGATGCATTGTTCTCATATCTCTTCAAATAACTAGATAGGTTATGAAGTAAGTGGCAGCTTGAACTCTGTGCTTAGGAAAAAAGAAGTGTTCATTAAATTGTACCAGCATAAATAAAGACTTAAAACCTGCAACTACTGGGAATGTATACTATACATAACAGGTCAACCTAGTTACAGTAGTTTACTTTTGACTGCTTGTTTGTAAATTATATTATGTTTTGAACTTTGGGTACCAGTCATGTTCAGACTGCAATTACTTCACTGACCTTATCCAAAAAGAACAGAATTGCTTTTTGCTGGTTCTCTTCATCAACATTTAGTTTGTGTCTCCCAATGGACGCAATCAGCTGTGTCTCTTGTTCTAGAAGTGCACAGAGGACTGCCTTTCTTTCTGCTCCTGTGAAAGTGCTGTTAATGTGCTCAATCTCCTCCTGTCTCCATACTATATTAATTAAAAAAAAAAATCTGGATTTAAAAACTTAGAGTTTACCAGCTGGACATTTTTGCTTTCACATTGTCAGTGTGTATTTATTTTTCAGTGTTTAACACCAAACTTTCATCTTCCTAACAAATCACTTGTATATTTTAAGTTAGTTATACATATTTTTCCAAGCATATAAAAACAGCACAGAGATTAATCAAATTATGGGGGCTACATAGATATTCTATGTGCATTCACCTCCTCCAAGCTGCCATTTTGTGCTCCTCAATCTAAAATTTTATTAAGAAAATATCCCTAGGCCCAGAGGAGGAAACAAGCCCAGTGTACCACTCCAGTAAGGACTTACTGGGGCACGTGGCTGCAGAGGAATGAATTACCTATGCTGTGAGCTTTCCCCTCACTCCCTGACAGTGAAGGAAGGGGGAGAGTAAGGAAGAGGGGGACTTCAGCTCCCTCCTCCCTAAAGGGGACCCTTGCCCTCCCACATTACCCCCCACAAATCAACCCACTTCCCTGAGCTGCCCATGCCCTCAGCCCCATGCCCAAATTTCTGCACCTCTTCATACACACCTCAACCCTCTGCTATCAGCCATGCCTCAAACCCCCAACCCCGACTCCTTCACTCTACCACACACCCAGCCCTGACTCCTGCACCCTCCACATCCCTACTCCCTGCCCTGACCCCCACAAACCCAGCCCAACCCCCTGCCCTCCACCCCACACTTACAATTACTATCAAATCCATCCCCTACCTTCTGGCCTGAGCCCTGGGGGGGATACAACAGTACGTGTAAGAAATGTATGCTACTTTCATCTCTGCCTAGGCCTTGTGGTTATGAAACAAATCTTCAAAATATTAATCAAATATAACTGAAAAAATGTATGCTCCATGAGTTTGAAGAGAGCTTGAAATAATAGTGCTGAAAGACATGAACAGTTCCAGTTCATTTCAATGAGGTATTAACTCAGATGTCCAATGGCAGTTAAAAAACCTGTATTAAGTATTTAATTGCTGATCAAAGCATATAAGAAATGAAAAGAAGCCTATTAACAACATCAGTCTAAGCTACTAAAAGTGATATCTCATTTTGGTACCTCACTAGTGGTTGGTGCTTAGAGACCTACCATTTCTGTCCAATCAAAGGGCAGACCCATTGAGGACCAAACTGATGTCCCATTGGGAAACGGGGTCCCATATAAGTGGAAAGAGTCTTTCACGGCCCTTATGCAACCTGATTCACATATCATGCAAGAATACCAACTGACCATGGATGCAAGTATGAAAGGACAATACTTCTGCCAGATGCACCTTGACTGAAGAGAATGCAAGGCCCTAGTGCCATAAGTGAAGAAGGGCATCCAGAATGGACTGCAGAGATAGCTGGGTTGGGATATTCTGTGCTGATGCCCACAAGAGAAAAGCTTAGCCAGGTAAATTGCTATGGTAGAGTGCTTTCTGCTCTCCAAGTCCTGGTCTACATTAAAGGGGAAGGTTGACTTAAGATATGCAAGTCCAGCTATGTTAATTACATAGTTGGAGTTGATGGATCTTAAATAGTGTTTTTGCACCAGCAACACAGAGGGAGGTTGACAGGAGCAAACACTCCAGTCGGCTTCCTTTACTCCTTGTGAGGAACAGACTACTGGCACCAATGGGTGAACCCTCTAAATTCGAATTAGTGGGTTTTCACTAGACCCACTAATTTGAACTCTGGAAGATCAAGTAGTAGACATGGCCTAGTGTAGACATGGCCCAAGAGAACCTGCTGTACCAGACTAAAGCAGACTTGTTTCTCTGGATTCAGCCACACAGCATCCAAACTGTGATGTGGTATGGGCACAAGACCTGACTAGCATCATATGAGATTAGGTCTTGGCAGCTGGGAAGTGGCCTCAGGGATGCTACAGCCAGGTCCATGAGCATTTCAAACCAATGCTGATGGGATCATGCTAAGGCAATCATAGAGACCATGTCTTGTCCTACTTGATTTTTGAGAACACTTTGCTGATAAGCAGACTTGGCAGAAAAGAGTACATCAGGTCTCCTGACCACAACAGGAGACAGGCACTGCAAACTGAGCCTCTGCTGAGACCTGGAAAAAACAGAACTGAGGACACTATCTGTTCAGCCAAGTGGTGAACAGGGTCACTCAGGATCTCCCCAGTTCTGACACTCTGATAAACTCCAAGTAAAGGGACACTTGTGGTGAGAGAAGAAGGACCTCTTAAGACAATGTGTCAGCATGTTCCAGACTCCAGAGAAATGCAAGACTTTTAGGTGGATTACATGCTGAATTCAGAAGTCCCTCAGATGGAGGATTTCCAGGCACAGAGCCAACAACAGAGCTCCCCTGTTTGCTAACATAGAACATTGTCTGTTAGCACCTGCACCACCCATACCACCCAACGGACCAGTTGGGGAAGGAAGACGCAGCAAGCCAGATAGATGGTTCCGAGCTCCCTGACATTTATTTGTAATGCAAGTGCCTCTTGAGACCATAACCCCTGAATCCATGGTGTACCAAGATGCACTCCCCAACCGAGATCAGACACATCTGAAATGAGGAAGATCATGGGCTGCAGGCTTACAAACAGCACACCTTCCAACACCATAACTGGGTCAGACTACCGCAGCAGAGAGTTACGTATTTAAGGTGGAATCATAAAGACCTTGACTAGGTGATGTCTGATTGAGGAACAGACTGGCACCAACCACATCTGGAAGGGATGCAGCCTGTCCCCTCTATCAGCTGGGAAAGACTCGCTACTCCAACCTCGGCAGGGAGCTGCTGCGGTAGCTGAGGAGAAGTGCCCCTCCCCCAGCCAGGCAACTCCCTACGTCAAGCCCTGAGTCTCAGCCAGGTATCTCCGTGTGTAGAGCCCTAAGCACCTGGCTGGGCGGGGCTCATTAAGCAGTTGCAGGGCCCTGACACTGCACAGCTTAGAGGGAAACTTGTTGCTTTGGCATTGTTCTTGACAAATCCATGCTGGCTATTGCTTATCAATTTTGTTATCCTCTAGGTGCTTACTAATTGATTGTTTAATCATAGAATCATAGAACACTAGAACTGGAAAGGACCTCGAGAGGTCATCGAGTCCAATCCCCTGCCCTCACAGAAGGACCCAGTACCAAGACAATCCCTGATAGATGTCTATCTAACCTGCTCTTAAATATTTCTAGCGATGGAGATTCCACAACCTCCCTAGGCTACTTATTCCAGTGTTTAACCACCCTGACAGTTAGGAAGTTTTTTCTAATATCCAACCTTAAGCTCCCTTTCTGCAGTTTAAGCCCATTGTTTCTTGTCCTATCTTCAGAGGCTAAGGAGAACAATTTGTCTCCCTCCCCCTTGTGACACCCTTTTAGATATCTGAAAACCGCTATCATGTCCCCTCTTAGTCTTCTCCTTTCCAAACTAAATAAGCCAAATTCTTTCAGTTGTCCTTCGTGAGTCATGTTCTCTAGATCTTTATTCATTCTTGTTGCTCTTCTCTGGACCTTCTCCAGTTTCTCCACATCTTTCTTGAAATGTGGTGCCCAGAACTGGACATAATACTTCAACTGAGGCCTAATCAACACAGAGTAGAGAGGAAGAATGACTTCTCATGTCTTGCTCACAACACTTCTGTTAATGCGTCCCAGAATCATGTTTGCTTTTTTTGCAACAGTGTCACACTGTTGACTCATATTTAGCTTGTGGGCCACTATGATCCCTATATCCCTTTCTGATGTACTCCTTCCTAGACAATCACTTTCTATTCTGTATGGGTGTGTCTAGACTACATGCCTCCTTCGACGGAGGCATGTAGATTAGCCAGATCGGAAGGGGGAAATGAAGCCGCGATTAAAATAATCGCGGCTTCATTTAAATTTAAATGGCTGCCCCGATCTGCCGATCAGCTGTTTGTCGGCAGATCGGGGGAGTCTGGACGCGATGCCCCGACAAAGAAGCCTTTCTTCATCGACACAGGTAAGCCTCGTGAAACCAGGCTTACCTGTGTCGATGAAGAAAGGCTTCTTTGTCGGGGCATCGCGTCCAGACTCCCCCCATCTTCCGACAAACAGCTGATCGGCAGATCGGGGCAGCCATTTAAATTTAAACATTTCCCTCTTCCGATCTGGCTAATCTACATGCCTCCGTCGAAGGAGGCATGTAGTCTAGACACACCCTATGAGTGAAACTGATTGTTCCTTCCTAGTAGAGTACTTTGCATTTGTCCTTATTACACTTCATCCTATTTACCTCAGACTATTTCTCCAGTTTGTCCAGATCATTTTGAATTATGATCTTATCTTCCAAAGCAGTGGCAACCCGTCCCAGCTAGGAACTTAATAAGAGTACTCTCTATGCCAAAATCTAAATAATTGATGAAGATATTGAACAAAACTGGTCCCAAACAGACCCCTGCAGAACCCCAATTGTTATGCCCTTCCAGCAAGATTGTGAACTGGCAGGATAACTGAGAACAGTTATCCAGCCAGTTATGCACCCACTTTATAGTAGCCCCATCTAAGTTGTATTTGCCTAGTTTATTGATAAGAAGTTCATGCAAGACCGTATCAAATGCCTTAATAAAGTCTAGGTATACCACGTCCACCGCTTCTGTCTTATCCACAAGAATAATAATCTGTTCTGGGATCTTTCAAGTCATTGAAGTTGGGTAGGCTGATGTAGAATTCCCTGGGTCCTCTTTGTTCCTCTTTTGAAACACAGGTACTAAGTTTGCCCTTCTCTTCTCTGAGACCTTTACAGTTTTCCATGAGATCTCAAATATAATTGCTAATGGTTCCAAAACTGTTTCAGATAGTTCCTTAAAGTAGTTTTGGATGAATTTAATCAGACTATACTGGCTTTAATTCTTCTAATTTATCTAAATATTCTTTAACTGGTTCTTTCCTTATTTTGATTTGCAATCCTTTCCCTTTGTTGTTAAAATTAACTGTGTTCAATATGTGATCACAGTTAACCTTTTTAATCAAGGCTGAAGCAAAATAGGCATTAATAATCTCAGCCTTCTTGATATCATCTTCTTAGCTCTCCTTTCCTACTGAGTAGTGGACCTATACTCTCCTTTCCCTTTTTCTTACTCCAATTTATAGAACCTCTTTTATTGCCTTTTAGGTCCCATGGTAGGTGTAATATGCATACGCACACCTATCTTGGCTTGTTTTGTACTGGCCATTACCAGAGCATAGATGCTGATATATACATACATACACATATGACATTTTTTCTGTTCCTAACAATATTAAAATGAGACAGTGACTTTTCCAAAACAATTACATAGCAAAGCATACATATCAACGAAACAATATATAATGCATACTTAAGGGGGAAAATCTATGATATGGTACCTTATCCCAGGAAAGAGCTATACAACGAAAAGTTTTATTCACTTCTTATCTCCAGTACCTTAAGTGTTTTTATTTTAGAATATTTCAACTCATTTCTTTAAGGCTTCTTTGCTATGGTTTTAATACTAAGCTTCCTGCTTAGTTCACAGTATCTCATGAAACTTCCAAGAACAGCAATTTTAGTCAACAATAGCATTGCATAGCTGAAAGCTTCGTATACCACAAGGAGGCAGACAAATTTCAAAAGACAAAGCTAATAAATATAGTAAGCAAGGTTTTTTTATGGGGCTAAAAGGTGTTTAGACAGAGATATTGGAATTGTCTAGATTCACCTACTGATTCACTGAAAATAGGCAACCAGCTTAAAAATGTACCTTGTAGAACAAATGCTTTATAGAACCAGAAGAATCTTCTTTGGCACAATATTTATTCTCTCTCCAGACTGCAACTATTCCCATGTACTCACTTTACATTTTATTAATAAAATTGCCATATTAAAATATTATATACATTATATAAAAAAGAGAGTTTACTATTGATGCTCAACTTCTTTAACCAAAAAACTGAAAAATATTCTGGCTAGTTCTGGCTGACCCTGTTCCTGTTGTGATTACCAGTAATGCCCTTCACAAATCTCTGGAGGACAATAATCTCATTCTATTTCTGTCACAGTGATTTAGTTTGTGTCGTCTGTTGACACTGTAAGAATGTGAAAGTACTACTCTGTTATAATGAGCATGACTGCAGGTCATTGTATAGACTAGAGAAGCAACTAGTCAAACAAACCAAAACAAAAGCAAATTGTCAATAATTTATATAATGACTGATTTTTTTAACATAAGGTGTTAAAGAGATTTCAAATAATATAATTTTCTTTTACACTGTTTGTACTGGCACAAATTTATTGTGTTGCCTAGATATTACATTTCTGAACTTGCACAACTAAGAATTTTATTGTGCCTGTGAACCAGATGGTATTTAACTAAACAAAAGAACTATGTATATAACCATAAGTTTCAAATTTAAAAATAGCAAGGCTCACTCAGGATTTCAACTCTGATCTTTGTTGAGTCTACCTCAAATAAATTTCTTTTAAAAATGATTTGGACTGGGTCAAACAGACTGCTAATACACTGCCAATTATGAAACAGGTTTTCAAATAAATGCTATAGTGATCCAGATTCCAAACATCAGCAGTAATAAAATGGCCAAGATTTTCAAACTGTCTTGTGATTTTGGAGAGGAGAGGGGAAAAAAGAAAAAAAGAACATAAGAGAATGAGAGAATTAAGAAAATTTGGATGCTGTCTTTTGAATTTTGGATAAAATATCACAAATCTCTGTTGCAATTTAGATGGTTAAAATTCTGAACTATGGACATTAAAGCTGCATTTTGTATGGATTTATTTCAGCTATTTAAGTATCACAGTATTACACTACAAACAAAAATTATATTCTGTTCCTCCAACTAGAGTTAGCATTAGAAATGAATGAAGCCAACAATACATTTGTCAGCTAGCACAATTATCCCCTGTATTTGGTAAGCTAATTACTTCCTAATATGAAACAGAAAATAGTTGTTTGTTAGATAGCATTTTACTTTTGAAAATACTTCATTTTTAAAGTATTTCCATTGCAAATTGAAAAACAATGGAAACATTTCCATTGACATGAGGGGTCTCTGAAAGTTTTTTTTTCTTTAACAACACCAACATTTGAAGTCCGAGACAAATTGAGAATGCCAAGAAAAACTTACATTCTAAAGCATGGTAAAGTAGTTCAAAGTCTTCCTTTGTTTTAGGATTCAATCTTCGTTCATACTCCCTTCTCAATCTTTCTTCCTTCTCTCTTTTTTTCCTTAACTCTTCTTGTACCTCCCATTCTAACCGCAACCTTTTTTCTTCTCTTAATTTCTGTACAACATTTATAGCATGCCATCGTCGGAAATATGTCTGTAATACTATTACCTAAATAGAGTATAAAACAGAAAAATAGTACCAGCTTAAAGTACCATGCTAGAATTTTTTTTTTTAAGTAGCATGTAAATTTGTTAGAAATTGCAATTTTGTTTAACATGTACAATAAACTAAATCATGACCATCATTGTACTCCTATCAAACTAGCTGGTAGTTTTGTTGTTGACTTCAGTGAGAGTAAAATTGGGCCCACATGTACCACTGACCATATAGCTTCAAGTTATCAAATGTATGCCTGACTTGTGATTGTAAAATATGGTAACCTCATTATCTTCCTTCAAAGTCCTCCTCAAAACTCTCTTTTGCTATGGTGCCTCCACAAAACTTGCCAAGGATTAGGCTGCAGGCCTGATGACACCTCGGCCTATTACATTGACCAGAACTACCTCATTATTTTCTTGTACTTCCCCATCTAACTGTTGTCTCTTGTCTTATACATAGATTGTAAGTTCTGGGACAAGGATTGTTTTTTTGTTCTGTATTTGTACAGCACGTAGCACAATGGGATTCTGGTCCATTACTATGGCTCCTAGGTGCTACAATAATATAAATAATAATACAGGTTGTATACCTTCCTAAACGTGGACTCTTTGGTCCAGCAACATCTGTGATCCTGCCTTGATCAGAGAACCCTTGGGACAGAAACCCAGAGGCAGAGCCCCTGTCAAGACTGACAGTAGCAGGGCCATGGCCGGTGGAAGTGGGCGAGCCTAGTATCCAGCCGCCTGGCCGGGGCTGCAGGAAAAGGGGGCCAATGTCTGGCAAGCCCGGCCAGGGCCAGCAGCGCAGTCGGACCAAAGGTAGGGAGGTCAGATGGAAACTGAGCCAGGGCCAGTGGACCTTCCCTGATCCAATAAATTCTCTTGTTCAGGACAGGTCAGGCCCCAAGGGTGCCGGACCAGGGAGGTCCATCCTGTAGATAAAAATGTGCAATAGCATGTATAATGGATACATTTTGACAGATATACTTGAAAATTTGTCCTTTTACTCATAGAAAGAAAGTGAAAATGTAATGGAAAATCAGCTATATTTTGTTTGTGAGCTAGTGGTTAAGGTGACACTACCATTCAGTACAGCACTATATTTAAAAAAAAAGAAGTGAGGTTATGAAAGTAAGAGCACAATCTTGTTTGTTGATTCATAATTTTTTAAACTTCTCCCTTTGTTTGTTAATTTACTTCATTACTTAAGGCAAAAGAATCCCACAATACAGACACCACCATGAGTTTTGGTGTCTCAGATTTGCCATGACAGATGTGGACAGACAGTAAAGAGCTTTCTGCTGAAGATCTCTAAAAGTAAAGAAGTTCTTGATGCAAATATCTGCCTACGGAGACCTTTCAGTAGATCCAAGGAGGCAAAAACCTGCAAATTGAAGTTCGCCATCTGTGACCTTAAGGAAACAGACAGCCAGCCCGAGAAAATGAATGGGCATGGGATTTGGCTCTAAATGCAGTAATTAGCTTGTGGACAGATGACAAGTACTTGCAGCAGCAGAAGACCTGGAGAATGATCCCAAGAGATTCTCAGGAGATTCCACAACATCTTGTAACTCCACAGGACTGCTCACCTATTTCAGCTCCCCTTCAATAATAAACTACATTTATGGAAAATTAATATACTATAAAAATTTCAATTACAACAGTTTTTAAAAGGTTGATTGAATGGCATTTATCAGAAAATGGAAACAAAGATTAGAATTTTTTCTCTCCAGTAAATACATCTGGTCTGTTTCAAAGATGAATGAACATAGACATGCAGAAGTCAAACAATTATCAACAAGATAATAAGAAAGCACACTGGACCTAGTAGAAATATATGTTCTAGAAACATTCAGTTATTATATCTCAATTACATTAACAAAAAGCAAGATGCAATATTCTATATACCAGCTTGCAAGTTTTAAAAATGTTTTAAAAATGGGGCCAAAAATTCAGACAGTGTAAAAAGCCATAACAGCATTGAACCTGTCTTGTGATATTATGGAAGAAATCTTCAAAAATGTGTGCCTTTCTTTCAAGGGAAAACTGGAAAATGTAACTAAAATTGTCTACATAACACCATTTGCACACTCTTTAATAATTTCTGTAAGGGCTATTAAAGAGCATACTAAAACAAACTGCAGGCCTAAGGGGCAATCGTATTCAATGCCTAATTCCACAAGATGTTCACTACTCTCATTAACCAAAATCATAATATTGTATAGATCTTAGATAACATTTTTCATCAGTATATTCTAAAGCACTTCACAAAAAAAGAGATCAGTGGAGAAACGGAAGCTCAGAACAGGGAAGTCACATGTCCAAGGTCACTCAGTAACAGACCCAGGAACTAAACCCAGATCTCCAAAATTTCAGTCCAGTGCACCAAGTTTAAAGATGAATGGCATATTTAAATATCATGGTGCTGCCATGGATCAACTTATGTAGCCACACATTTATGCATACAATATGCCTAACAAAACTTTATGAGAAAGCTGAGGAAATGAAAACATGTTTAGACAAACTTCCATACACAGCAATCAGGGAGTCACTCATTCTGAGAAAGAATCCACAAAGTCCACTGATCACATTTCTCAAGATGTGCAGTAAGTAATTATTATCTCAATGTTGTTAAAATACAACACTGATAACACTGTAAATTAGCAGATACATGCTTTTCCTTTATCTCACTAACAATCATAAAAACAAAGTTTAAAAATTAACAGGATTTTTGCCATTCATCTTTAAACACATTCTTTGAACACTTATCCAATCATCTCTTTAATATGCCATTTTATAGATATATGGAGAAGAACTTACTGCATCTAGTCTACGTTTATGATATTCTTCTGCAGTAAGATATGTTCTTGGTCTTCTTAACTTGTCAGTCATGTTTGACACATAGAGGCCAATTTTAGTCATCTGTGTGGAGGTTGTATTTATAGTCTGTTGGCGTTTATTCTTCTCCACAACGGTCTGGAATAAAAACGTAATTCATGTTAAAATATGACATAACCTATGCTGTGGATTTTAGTATTTTTTCAAATTAAAATGAATGAAATTCAGTTAATAAAATGAATTTGCATGATTTTAAGTAACTATTTGTTTTTAAGTCTAACTACTTATTTATGTATCAGAGGGGTAGCCATGTTAGTCTGGATCTGCAAAAGCAACAAGGAGTCCTGTGGCACCTTATATACTAACAGATGTATTGGAGCATAAGCTTTCATGGGCAAAGACCCACTTCATCAGATGTATGTCATGAAGTGGGTCTTTGCCCACGAAAGCTTATGCTCTAATACATCTGTTAGTCTATAAGGGGCCACAGGACTCCTTGTACTTATTTGTGCTCAATTATTTCTCCAGTCAGCTTAATTTCTGACAGCCATGTCAATATTCTATTTTGTTTAGCAAAAAATGTTCTAAATGAAAGACCATTAAAAAATTACCTGTGTCTCCCTGCAAAATACTTCAATTCCTTTGTCACGTCGTTTTTTGGGTACTGTTTGTGATCCTGCATTATGAAATTCCACGCCTGTTACCCTATGTTTAAATCCACCCAGAAATGGCTTACGATAAGTAGGCCTTTCGATCTCTACTGCTACATCCTGGAATGTGTCAGAATCTGTTCAGATATAATAATTAAATACAATTATATACTATTCTGTAAGTAATCTGATTACAATATGGCACAAATATTAATATTAATGCATATTTGAAAAATATTGTTGACCTGTTTGCACTCTCACAGTTATGACATCAGGCATGTTGTAGTCTTGCTGCAGTTTAATTGTTTTGATTGGGTACTGTTCTGGATCAAGAGAAAACATTTCAATCTGGATAGTTCCATGAGGCCTAACTCCAATATGCATTAGAGATTCACCATCCTCAATCAGCCTCCCTTTAAAACAAAACAAAACAAACAAAGTAAGGCATTCTTCTCTAATAAAAGAGGATACTGTCAAGCATTTTCCTCGGAAGAAATCAAAACTACAGATTATTTTAGCGAAACATGAGTGTTGAGTCAGTTTAATCTCAATTTAGGAAAGTCTGTGTTACTTCTGCCCAAAAGATATTCTAGGTAGCTCTGTCACAATCATACAAAGAGAAAAAAAATCATATTCACTTTCAAGAAAAAAGGCACAGAAATTAAAGTATCTACTTACCTTATTTGTTAAATAGCTCTTTAAAATTCTAGCTTTTACATTAGTTACTTTTTTGTCCTCATTGAAGATTTAGTGTATTAGTAAATGTAATATTTCTATTTTCAAACTTGATGTGGGTGCACAATAAACAAAATGGCCAGAAAGCTGAAATGCATAATCTGATGCAGACCTGTGGTTTAAACACTAACTCAGATTGATACAAACTGTCTTTAATTTTAATGCAATATTTCAAATACATCTTGCTTAATGGAAAGATAGTACTAAAATACATGGAGTTGAGTCCTGAGTATGCTAGGTCTCAGTTGGTTTTGATAAAGTATCCCAATATAACTTTAACAGGTTTGAAAAGCCTAGCCTGCCAATTCCATTGTCTCCCAGCACGGAGCCACTCTGTGTCACTTTTTGGTCATCTCTGGTCTGTCCTGCAGTTCCTCCAGGAAAAGAAAAAAGAGAAAACTGACTCAAGCAACAAGTTTTGAGAAATAGATGCCAAGAAAAGCGCCTACTCTGTGTCATTGCCACAAAGGAAAAATATTAAAATTAGTAATTTTCCAGAGCAGCCTCTACCTCTTGGATCTTACTCATTTTCTAGTGCCCTTAACCACAAAACACCAACTATTTCTTTTCCAGTCCTACCTAGCTCTCTGGGTACATTTACACAAGTGTTATTTCGGAATAACTTACGTTATTCCAAAATAACATAGTTCGCATCTACACTACAAGTAATTATTCAACATAATGTAAAAGCAATGTTGAGCTGGAGAAATTCTTACTCTGAGTCCTGTAACTCTCATTTCAGAAGGAGCAAGAGAAGTCAGAGGAAGAGTGCTCTCTCTCAGACTTCCTGCTGTGTAGATAGTGCCAAAAGCCAAAATAAGCTATTTCAACTTAAGCTACACAATTGACATAAGCTACAGATCTTGAACTATTTTGACTTTAGCCCTGCTGAGTATATGTGCTCTCTGCTATTAAATCAGATACACTCTAAGATTTCATTTGTTGTAACATTTTCTAAAGAAGAAAAAAAGTATCTGTAACTCTGAAATTTGGGGTCAGCCCAGACATGATATTTTAATGAAATGTTAGAGGAAAATCTTTGGTGTATAATAATAAAAATATAGTTTCAGTATTTGAAAAATATTAAGATTGTGTTTGGTTCACCAACTAAAATATTTGAAGTATGGTTCTTCTGGAAGTAGTTGATGTACAAATGCAAATTTTATTCAATAGACCTGTTTAGTGATTGACGCCAGGTCTATTCAATTTACTATATAATATATGCCAGAAATATATTCTTACAAAAAGTACAAAGTAAGGTCATGATCCTGCCATTGGATCCACATGAACAGACTCCTTTATTCTTGTGGACCTTCCCCAAAGCCTGCCTCTGACAATCCAATTTCAGGATCAGGGCCTAATCATTTATGGTTTTTAATAGGGCTGAAAAACAAAGAAAGGTTTTTACTAAATCTTTGCTCCATACCTTGAAACACGACCTGTAAGACATCCTGTGGTACTTTTAGCTGTGATGCAAAGTATTGCTTCAGCTTCCCTACGGACTGGTTAATGTTAAAAGCCATTGTGATCATCTGGATATCAGGAACCAACATGATTTTAACTGAGGAAAATAAACAGAGATACCAATTCCTGTTATATAAATTGAATGGATGATAAATCCTTTTATTTAGACCAGTGTTTCTCACAGTTGTCCATGAAACCACTTTGAGAAACCTTTTAACTGGCTGCTCAGGTATGTTTACCAACTGGCACCACGGCCACAGAGCCTCGTGGCTCCTATTGGCTCCGTTTCACCATTTGCAGCCAGGAGGAGCTGCAGGAACCAGTGACCTGGTCCACACCGCTTCCTGTAGTTCCCCTCGGCTGCAAACAGTGAAATGGAGCCAATAGGAGCCACGAGACTCCATGGCCATGATGTCGGTAAGTAAACACACTGCAGCAGCCATTTAACTGTTTTCTCAAAGAGGTCTTGTGGATCACTTTGAGAAACTGATTTAGATTGAAGAACTGAATTTCAGCTCTTCCAATATTCATAAGGTACTTTTCCCCTCTTCCAAATATGCTTCACGAGATGATTTACCCAGCACTGCTCGTATCCTTACCTCAATTAATTTTGGGGTTTTTTTTTGAAAATAAAATGAAAATGTACATGCTTCATTTAGATCATTGCTCTGGGGTGGGGTTGGGAATGAAAAGTTCAATACCCAGGCTGCCCTGGAGAGAGGGACTACCCAAGCCCTCTTCCATCACAGCACCTTGGGGCCTGGTGAGAAGTATATCTCTATGGCTGCTGCAGGTCCAGTGGGCACAGTCAGGGGAGGGATGCACGTCCACTGGCTAGGGCAGGTTCAGGTTTATCTGTCCCCTGTGCTCCCCAGCCAGAGTGAGGAATGCAGCAAACTGTGCATTTTCCCCCTCATTCCCTGACAAAGAGGAAAAGTCAGCAATGTTCTCATACAAATTGGGGGAGGGAGGAGCTTCAGTATCCCCTGCCCTCTGTAAAGGATGCTGGGGAGAGGCTTAAAGTTAGAGCAGTCCTGGAGTGCATCCCCTCCGCTCCCCCAGACAGTTCCTTTCACCTGACTGATGATTCTGGATCTTTTCTACATGGTTTATGAGAAGCAATCCCATTACATTTACATCCCATTGTCATGGCACAACCAAACCATTATCTGGCTTTAAGTTATAATAAGAGGAAGCTGTATACTGAATTTGTGGTCATAGCTCTTACTGTTTAGGCATTCTTGAACAAACAGACAGACACTCACACAGAGTGACACACAACAAACTTTCTTAAATATATAGTAGATGTGCATAATAGTGTGTACATATATCTATATATAAGAAATAAAATTTATATTATAAACGTTACATTTAAAACAATTTACACCAAAATTACAAAATGAAAACAAATCAGAATGTAAAACATATCAATAGCAGCAGTGCTGTGTGACCTGGCATGCCAATAATGACGGTTTATTTTGTAGTTCTCAATAAAGAAAAAATTCTCAACAGAGAAACAGGGATTGATATATAAAACACTTTTTGCTACCAGGTTAGGAATAAAATATCACTTTGATCTATCTGGTGTTTCAGCAGGTAGATATGGTGTAACACAATTTTTATTAATGCAATATGGTTTAAAGTTTATTTTTACCTCAAAAATATCAAATATTGGATGGAGTCTATGTTGCCTCAATCAGGTAATGAGCAAAAGCCAAGAAACCATTGGTAGGTTGTGAATAAATATAACACAGCATTTGTAAAAATATGGCAGTAACAACCAATTTTTATGTGAAGCAAATTTTATACCTGTTGCTGTAGCATTTGTTGTTGCTTCTGGTAAGGACCTCTCAGATTCCAAATCATCCAGTTGCCTCCTACCTAAGTTGTACATTTCAGCTGCTAACAACTTAACAAATGTTTCTGTAGTAATTTGAGAAATTTCTTCAGTCACTTTAGTTAATGGAGCAGTTGGCTCAGCTGCACCTTGTTCACTTTTTTCAAGCAATTCTTTATTGCTCACAGCAAGATCATTAACCTCTTCAAGGCCTGGTTCCTGCCCTTCTATGCTTGCCTGTTCTTGTTCCTCAAGACCCAGTTCCTGCCCTCCTACCTTTGCTTGCTCTTGTTCTTCAAGACTTGGTTCCTGCCCTTCTAGCTTTGCCTGCTCTTGTTCTTCAAGACTTGGTTCCTGCCCTTCTACCCTTGCCTGCTCTTGTACCTCAAGACCTTGTTCCTGCCCTTCTACCTTTGGCTGCTCATGTTCCTCAAGACCTGGTTTCTGCCCTTCTACCGTTGCCTGCTCTAGTTCCTCAAGACCTGGTTCCTGCTCATGAGCCTCTGAAGTGGGTTCCTGCTCCGGTTCCTCCCCATAAGTCTCTGGAGCTGGTTCCTGCTCCTTCTGTAGTCCATCCACATTTGACTGTGATACATCTGTCCTTGCTTTCAGAAGAACCGATGTCTCTGCAGTGCTAATGTGATCGGTCTCTGTATCATCTTCTTCTGGTGGCTTTCTGTGTGTGTGATCTATCATTTGCTTTTCAGTGTCTGATACTTCAGTTTTATCTGCTTCACTGTGGCTATCAACCACCTCCTTTGGATCAGCCATTTTCCTGAAATTTAAGATTATATATTTTTAAGTTTCCTGCTTGAATAATTCACAGTTTTTTATTTTAAAATTTCATAGTGATACCTATCCCCAACATTTACATCACCAAACATACTTTGCCGTGTCAGTCACAATACTGCCTATTTAATGGTGGCTTGGATCTTTGGTTCAAAAAGTAAAGTATTATTAATCCTTGCAACAGTGGCCTCAAGTCCTTCCAACTGTTTTCACTAACCATGGGACATAATAGCCTAGCCATTATTTGGTAAAATTTTCCCGATACAATTAAGACTTCACTGAGAAAATTCCATTAGAGAGCAGAGCCTCTTATAATTACCTGGTCGGATATTATGGTAACAGAAGCAATGGAACTAATGCACACTGGAATCATCACATTGTTGTCCTTTTGAAGAGTATCCAATCAGTGAGACCTTGCTGAGGTGCCTAAGGCAAAAGAACATTGTTTCTTTGTATCTGTCATGTACACAACACAGGAAAATTATCTGAGATACATTGAAGGATCTCAGAGTGACTTTTCAACTATCAGTGTTCTAGTCTCACTATCAACTTCAGTGGATCTGTAGGGATGTCTCGAGTTCCCTCTGAGGAACCTGATAACATTTTGATACAGTATTGTGATACCTTTATGGGCAGTAACTATACCAAGCTCACGAAAGATGTCAATGCACAGGGTGACATTATATCCTTTTTTGGCCACAACAGTCCCTTCATTAAGCACTGCTCTGGCCTTTCAGACATTTTTTTTGGCAAAAACTGGAATTTGTCCTTTTTGTTTTTGCCAACTAATCAAGTTGTCAAGAGCAAATGGGACAACTACCTACTTTTGTCAAAAAAGTCATGTGTGAAAGAATGTGTGGGGTGCACGTGGTGATGCCAGCCCCCTGCTTGGGAGTGGGAGAGAGCGAGCTCTGGTGAGGGGCAGGCAAGACTCAAGCAAGCAGCAATACCAGCTCCAGACTCACACACGGGGAGGACGGAGGAGGGCAGGTAGGGTTTGGGCGAGCAGCAACATGGGGAGGCTGTCCCTTTGGAGACTGTCCCACTAAACCCCTAACGTGGTTTTATCCGGGGACTGGGACTGCGGCTTGGTAAGGACCCCAAAATGCACCAACGGGACTACAACACCCAGAATGCACCACAGCCCACCGAGCCCATTCTATAGATGCAGCCGTCAGACTCCCACTCCTGGCATTCGAGGCGCGGCGCCGCCCCGCCCCGCCTCCTTAACCCTACAGCGGTAGCGGCGCTGTGCATGCTGGGAGACGCAGCGTTTCCCGAGGTGACTTTGAGCCAGCCGGCGCCTTGTAATTCCTTCATGCGGGACCGGCTTATACTCCTGCTCGAGCCCCCTTTACCTCAGCCCCAAGGCGTCAGCGCCGCTTCCCGGGCAAGACGCCTCTGCCCCCTCTCAGTCTCGAACGCCAGCGCGTTGTGGTTGCAGCCATGGCAACCTCGAACTTTTACACATTCTCGCGAGATCAGGGTAGGGAGGGGGCTGAGAGTAGGAGCATGCGCGTTATGGGCCAATGTTGGCCCGAAGGCTTGAGAACAGAGCAGAGCCGTAGTGACCTGCGTTTGAGACAAGGGCTCCGCGGCGCTGTAGTCCAGGCTCTGCTCTAGCCTCTCCGCAGCTTACGCATCTGTTCCCTAGCGCAAGGGGGAGACCAACGGCCTGTCAAAAACAAAAACCCTGGCGCGCCCTCCAGCGAGACTCTCTCTAAATTCTGGTCACCACCGCACTGAAGCGTGAGCCGGGGGCGCTGAGAGCGTATTCGTGATTAGTTAGGCAGCTTAGATTCTAGCGGCACCGTTGCAGAACACACAGATGCAAGCGCCCACCTGACTTGTGGGTGCAAACCCCATGGTAACGGCATTGTGCGTGCACATTTTTGAAAATGCGACCGTTCATCGGTCGTCATCATTGTGATGCTCATTAAGTACATTATCGAAGTGAGCCAGAAATACCGGTGAGTGCAGTTATACCCAGTGCTCAGATGCCATAAGGTAGTGGTTGCATTATACCTAGCAGTGCTTTACTTTTTACAGGCGAAGCAGAACTGAACCCTAAGGGACTTGTCACTAACAATATCGTAAGAATTATGTTTATCTTGACTACAGTATGCAAGTTACTCTGTAAAGATAGACTAGTGGGCATTATGTGACTTATGATCTATTAATTTATGAAGTCTTTTAAATTAACACTTGAATTATCCCATATTCATTATAAACCACCACAATACCATTTTAGTTTCAGATTCTGCTTATTTCCAACCAAATATTTTTCCTACCAGTATTACTACCATGACATGCATGGGAAACAAGGGCACATTAAATGAGGTGCATGCTGAATGCACACAACACAGAGCCATGTGTGCTGTTCACAGATTTTTCCATGTCCAAAGTCATACTGAAAATTCCTCTATCACTGACTCTTTGGGCTTGTTACCCCCTCCCCCAAGAAGTAAACCACCTTAGAATATATAATTAACATGAAATAAGTTCCAAATAGCTTACTCCAAGTTGTGTAGTTTGGGATCTTAGTTTTAAGTCTTGGCTTAGGTAAAGGACTGTTAAAATTTGAAAAGTAAGTATTATTTGCATTTGACTTACAGATGCGTTTGTATGCTCTATCTAGTATAATCCTGATTCTTAAGGTCCTTAAAAATTACCAGCACACTATCAAAGTAAATTTAAATGTGTGGAACAGTACTGGCACTTCAGTACTTTGTCTCCAATAGTTACAGGCAGTCCCCAGATTACGTACAAGATAGGAACTATAGGTTTGTTCTTAAGTTGAATTTGTATGTAAGTCAGAACTGGCTCCAGATTCAGCTGCTGCCACTGAAACTGACCAGGGGCTGACTACAGGAAGCCGGAGGCAGAGTTGCTCTGCCCCCAGCTTCCTGGAATCAGCCTGATCAGTTTCAACAGCTGCTGAATCTGGAGCCTGGGACAGAACAGCTGGGGCACTGCCCGGTAGGTTCCTACAGGACCAACCCGGCAGCACCCCAGCTGCTCTACCCAAGGCATCCCGCAACAAAAGCCTGCTCTGCGGGGGGGGGCGCACTAGCTGCGCCTCCCTCCCCCCCAGCACACCAGGGAGACCCGAGCAAAGCTGCACAGGCGGAGGGACCCCACCGCCCCTGTGGCTTTGCTCCTGTCTCCCTGGTCTGCTGGGGGGGGGGCCAGCGGCTTTGCTGGACCCCCCCCCCGGGGGGCCGGGCCGCACAC